GTGCTGACCACCACACGGCAGAGGATCAGGTGAATATATCTGCTTTATTTTTGCCCCCTAGACAAAATGAGCACCTACCTCTTGCAGTGTGGGGTAGTCCCATTCCAAGGATTATGTTTTTTAAATTCTTCTTTAAATAAACTCAACACTGCTATAGCCAGTGTATTCCAGTGATGCCTTAGCTCAGCACTTACAATGTAGAACTAAAACTGATTCTGTTTTTTAAAACTAAACTCCAGCCAAACAGCTATGTACAGATGAAGGGAGATGTTTTAACTGCCAAAGGAATTATATTTTTGTCCAACCAGTTAGAGCTCTGCCACACAGCACAGCTATGATACCACTTTCTTTGTTAAAGTTATAGGCTATAAATGGGACATAATTGTCTTGTCTCTCCATCATCTGCCTGCTCATTAGGCAGCCAATAGGGAACTCACATGCTTATGAGGTTTTTTTCTTTGCCCGCTATGCTCTCTCCTCCTGTCAGCATGTTCCTTGTCAGCACAAATGGCATTTATTTTTCTATACAAAATTTCTTCAATGGTAATTGATCTTTTTGAAAGTGCAGCACCCAGTTCTGCCAAAATACTCACAGCAGATACAGTGTAGTTTGCTATTTATTTCATTTGTTTCCATGTTCATTAGATGCTATTTTAAAAAAAATACTGAGACAGGTCCTCTTTAAATAGAAGGGCCTATTACAGATTCTTAGCTTTATCAAAAATTGTAATATTTATTTTAATACATATAAACATGCACATACAGTAACTGTAATACATATATATCTCTTTCCAGCAGGCAAGCAATCTGCCTTCTGATAAAGTGTTAAGCCGTCCATATGCAGCTTTGATAAGGTACTTTTAGACTCTGCAATGAGAGCATCTTTGTAAATAGCATCTAAATAAAAAGATTAGACTACTCTTCCACATTTTTTTTTAATTACAAAGATGATAAAAGCTCTGTCACTTTTCGGGTCTCACTGGTGAGCTGCTTAGATTTATTTTTCTTATTGAATTGTGCATGTAAAGCCTGCAAAATATATTGCCCCATTAAGATAGGATATTTATGGTGTGGGAATTTCAGTGTTCACATAAGTAATCAACTGATTGCAACACATGCAAGATGAGCCAGTCTCAGCTGTGTACTTGCAGCTGTAAAATGTACACTAGAGGCCAACATACTGTATATTTAAAATATTGCACATGCAGTATAAGTGTATTATGTATAGCAAATGCACAAAAAAGACAGAAACCTCCCTTACCCATAGCTGGAAAAAAAATAAAAATAAAAAAAAAACAGTTGGAGTCTGGCTTTAATTAATAACTTCTCTGAATGAAATGGTTGGTCCTATGCATGCGCTGTGCCCTCCCATTCATTTCTATAGAGTTTAGGAGTATGACCTTTTTTAACTCCAGACTATGTTTTGACAAATATGACTGAGTGCAAAGCACATAAGATGTTAAGAGGCAGCCGTGCAACATATTCAGCAATATCTTACTGAATCAGGGATAGGTGACTATAAGAATGAACAAGGGCAAGGTGGGGAAGGGGGAATTAGAATAAAAATGGCCAATTGTATTAAAGCCCAACTCTGGGCTTGTGATCCCCCCCACGACCCCTTGGAGCACCCTTAAAAAAAGGTAGGGGTAAACACAGAGGTGTCCCGAGGCGGGGTGACACCCGGTGCGAGTATCGCGTGACAACCTGCAGTGACGTCATCGCGCATGTGCGTGATGACATCACGGGCAGTACTGCTGTTACCTGTTACCTGTCGAGAGAAGGGGAAGTCCCCCGGCGGGATAAGGTATGCCGCTGGGTCCCCTCTTCTCCTGAGCAACTATCAGGCTCTCTGTCCTTTACCAAGTGCCCGACTTTTTAGAGGGGGTGACACCAAAATGACTGTCATTTTGGTGTCACCCCTCCAATGGTGTCACCCAGGTGT